AAGGTTTCACACCACAAATACCTTAAGAATAAAATATATGCCTGACATTTAAATGAGAAGTAATCCTTCAGTGTTTCGGGATTTAAGAGATCATTACCTCTCTGGGAATGTACACACTATCAGTTCTGTGATTCCACTGAATATTGTTTATGTCTTCAGATTCCTTTGACATAAAACCAAAATGATAAAACCTAATGTTTTGTCTATATATTGTCAGCAGCAGGTAAACAATCCATGATATAATATCCATAGGATTGGGAAGCTGGGTAAGAAGGAATAGGATCACATATCCTTTTATAATCTGTCCATCAGCTGAAAGTTATTGCTGGAAATATAGACATGCAGGCTCATATAGTATGTTTGTGTGCACCTGGTGTTAAGTTTAGCTTCACAAGGAAAAATGCCCTCAAAGACTCTTATCTATGTTCTTTGATGTAAAACACTAGATGTGTAACGTGAACACTTGTAATATATGTTCCTAAATGACACAGGATATATCAGAGTGTATAGTGTATACCACAAACTGGTAATTGTATCAAACACTGATTCCATGAAATATAGTCATGTGTATAGAGATGTAGGTAGGTAGGTAGGTAGGTACTAAGGTAGGTACTTGGGTGGGTGGGTAGGTAGGTAGGTAGGTAGGTAGGTTTTCATTTTGTGAATGTCCAATGATCGTAATGAATGCCCTCTCAATCAATATTTAGTGTATGACCCCCTGCGATCACCCCTGTTTGACCCTTCCATGATCTGCGGTGTATGAGGGACAATGATCTTCAGTATACATCCTTCCAACTTTTTTTAATGTGCACCCTGACATTGATTTCTAGTGTTTGACCTGCATATAGTCTTCAGCATATGATACTCCACTGACCTCCACTGTTTGACCATCCACTGACCTTCACTGTTTGACCTCCACTGACCTTCAGAGTCCAAATCTTCCATTGATCTCCACTATCTAATCCCAAAAATCTTTCATGAGTTACTTTACACTGATCTCCATTGTCTGAACTTCCAATGATCTTCAGTGTTTGACCATCCATTTATCTCTACTGTTTGACCCGCAAATAATCTTCAGTATGTGACTTTCCTTTGATCTACACTCTATGGCCCTATAGTGATCTACACTGTTTGACCTTCCAATGATCTTCAGTGTTTGACCATCCATTTATCTCTACTGTTTGACCCGCAAATAATCTTCAGTATGTGACTTTCTTTTGATCTACACTCTATGGCCCTATAGTGATGTACACAGCTTCACCTTCCAATGATCTTCAGTGTTTGACCATCCACTGATCTGCATTCTTCAACCGATTCAGTGGGTTAATCCACAGTGATACCAATGTATAGATTTCAGTTTAAACGCTTATACATACAGGAAAACAATCATACACATCACAAAAAGCAGATGTAAGCAAGCCCCATGCACTAATCTGATCACTCTTTTTATCAGTAAGGTAATATGTCACTTTCTCCTAAATAAAGTATGCATAAAGACAAAATACAAAACTGTCTGGCAGTACATCAAAGCTGTATCAATAGCTCTTTGGTAACACAAAGTCAGGGGTTATGGATAAAGGGTCTCATCACAAACACATGATTTCCAAGCAACGTCTATAGTAAATCTGTGTTACAGTAGGGGAGTCACTACTCCACTGTACCACATCTGCTTTGTACAAGTGGTCCCAGTCTGTAATTGTAACATACATGGATCTTTGTGTCACCAAGGAATATAAGGACAAAACTTTGTGCCAAGGCAACTACCTTCAAATACCAACCTGCAACCTATTCATTAGTCTGTCGTACAGACCCTGAAGCAAATATATCCAAGAAAGCCCACACAAGTCTAGAAAATGTGGCAAGTCTAGATTTCCTCAGCTTCAGGAAAATGAAGAAAGTCTCAGGGCTCCTTTTCATTATATTTTTTTTTTACTATGAACTTTTTTCAGTAAAATATGTTCATTTCAGTGACTAGTTGTTAGTCTACCTATTCATCAATCAGTCAGTGTGACAAAACTCTTGTACAGGTGTCAAACTATATTTAGTCAAACCTAATCTCAAAATTATCTTATTACCAAATCATTGTTTCTAGATAACAACATCAATAATCAAGTGAGTGAGTGAGTGAGTATGGTTTTACGCCGCTTTTAGCAATACTCCAGAATATCACGGCGGGGACACTAGAAATGGGTTTCACACATTGTGGGGAATAGAACCTGGCCAGGTCTTCAGCATGCTGAGCAAATGCTTTAACCACTAGACTACCCCACCACCCCCAATAATCAACAGTTAATCTATAGGAAGGGTCACATCATGGGTGTTTTATTTTTGGTGACATTTAATTTATCTTGTGGCATCTTTTTTTTAATACAGTATGATATTTTTCCACTAAGTCTGCTAAATCTATCCATAGAGGAAAAAAGCTTTATGATAGTATATATCACTGATAAATCCTACATAATTATAAATAAAATGACACTCTCACAAAAATAAATCATAACATCAATATTTATATTCAAGTGCTTTTCAATTGTTCATCTTGAATAATTGATGATATCGTTCTGAAACCCCTGCATTTTACCCCCAGAGCTGTCTTAGCAAAGATTTCTTTCATAAATAAGAAAACATTGCAATATGTTCAAACAAGATCCAAGAATAGCTCTTTTGGTAGTTAAACTTTTGTCATAAGCTGCTAAGATATGACAGCTTTATGCACAGGCCGTCTACCATTCAGACAACATTGTGGAAAACAGCATTCATGTTTTCTTTGATTGGCATTGTAGAAGTTGAGTAGATGAAGAATGAGGACTATTTTTGTGGATATACAACTTCTTTATTCTGTATAGGCGATGTTTCCGACATGGATTCTACATAGACACCATTTGCTGACAACGACATTAGAATCTATGTCGAAACGTCGCCTATACAGAATAAAGAAGTTGTATATGCATAAAAGTAGTCCTCATTCTTCAGTATTCATGTTGTTATAGAGAAAAGAAGTACATTCTTCAAGACTTAATTTGTTCAGGATTAGACAACAATATTTTTAGTTTCCCCGTGTGTCCAAAATGACACATTGCTATTACATATTTATTACTGTAAATGACTTTCTAACATTCATATGGATAATATGTGTTTGACTCTGTAATCACCCCACACACAGACACAATGTCCAAAGGGGACAGACATATGAAACAGTGACCAATCAAATCAGTCGAGAAAAACCTGAAGGGGAGAAATATTATCCAAACTAATTTTCAAAGTAGAATATAATTAGTTGTTCACACTTTGTAGAATTTTAATTCCTCATATAACTGCGGAGATTAATTAGTATCAGAACAGATGCTTCCAGCTATATCACACTTGAACAATGAAGCTGTTATTGTAAGGTACACCTGCCTTGACACCATAGACCCTCAATTCACAAGTCACACTTTAAAATCATAGTTTGTGCCTAAAAGGAACTTATAGAGACATTAAGTTTTACATGACATTTCACATCTTCAGATTTTAACTTTACATATGAGAGGGTCCTGATGGTGGGTACTATTTGGTGTAAAACAATTATTGTAAACATAAGATGAATCAAATCTTTACTGTTAAAGATCATTGTAAAATGTCCACAAAGATGCACTTTGTGTAAATTTAAACATTAGTTTGTCACAATCAAGCTAACATTGGGTAAAGGTTGAATACAGCACATTGAAACCAGTCAGTATTTTTGTGAGCACAAATTGCAGCAATGAAACAAAGGCAGGACTGACAGACTGTAGATTAAATATTGCAGCCTGTTTGTCATTAGCATGATTTTTGTACAAACTAAGATGACAAATAACGGCTACTGACAAAATGTCTCAAAGTTCCGTGATTCTACTGACTTGTAGAACACAACAGACGGATAGACAGACAGACATAGACACAAAGACACAGACAGAGACACACACACACAGACAGCAACACAGACACATTCAGACACCAACACAGACACACAGGCATACATACAGACAGACATAGAGAGGATGCTCATGTAGGGCCTTGAGTGTAGCAGGAAGTAGTCATGGATGCCAGATAGCTCAGAGGCACTCAACGACAACATGGCCACACAGTTTCTCATGTTTGGAACTGAGTCCTGTAACACTGACAGTGGAGTTCCTAATTTCATTCCTTATGGAACAGTTTAACAATGTATCCCAGTACTAATCATGATACTTATCACTTAAATAACTGTAAACAGTAGGTATTTTAAGGTGGCTGGACAATAACCCCTTTGCTCAATCCTAAGTTCCCATATGTCTACATATGAGATCTTCACGGGTCAATAAATATGTGCGATGAGCTGGTGAGGGTGAGGGTAAGGTGTCAACATTTCTCTAACTCGGAACACAGTTTTGTTACGATTTCTGACTTCGACACATACATCAATGTCCAGCTATTGATGCATTTCATTAAGTCAATAAGATTAATATGCACAGCTTTTTATCCATCAAAAATACAGTTTACAAATAATTATTCACGCTAAAACTGTTATCACAACAAAGTTATAAAATAAAAGCTAAAAAATCCTGACTAGTGTATCCTTTTCAGTAAATTCAGGATATAGCCTGACTCTATATGTCTAAGCAATCCATCAGCTATCCCACCTTCAGAAAACCAAGGGCAGTCTGTTGGAAATGTCAACTGAACACAAATGTTACTATACCATATGTGTACTTCATACAACAATGATTATCATGACAACCATTCCCCATGAGTCCACCGATGACAATTCCAGGCTTCAGTACTACTGAAGGAACCTGTATTGTGCCAGCATATGCTGGACCAGTCATCGCCATGCCACTATAATGATGCTACGATATTTAAAAACAGGAATTAATCAGTTGGAATGCCCCTCAGATATGTCATTTCAAATTTTTAGAATACATAAACACTAAAAACCCTACTATGCCAAGCATTGTGTCCACAAGGATCACACAGGTGAACGTGTTGGTATATCAGCCTACCTTGGACACTGCCTGTGATCCTCTGCCTGGTGGCCCCCGTCGTTGAGCTTGCATCCACTATAACATAGGAATAGCAATTTGACAAAGGTTAGATAGAAGAGGAATGATGTTACTGTAATCAAAACTCAAAGGTTATTGTAAATGCACCTGGTCTGTCAATCTCCAAATAACCAACCTTATCTCTTCAACATAATATTTTTCAGCAATTCATATTTTCTTTAAAGAGTCCATACTTCATACATATTCAAATGTTGCTTACATATTCGACCAACTGATAGGTGTGTGGATGTTTCAACAAAAAAGCCACTAAATGAAAGAAAAAGGTGTTAATCCAGACATTGAAACATGAAACTTTACCAGAGACCTGAGAATCACCACTCTTCCATATTAATCCCACAAGAACGCAGATGTTGTGAGCAGTGAAGACTATACTTTCAGGACACACAAATAAAAATGATCCGTAGTGTGAGGTTTCTTGGATTGTGACATTTTTCACAAAGAATGATCAACTGTTTATAGCAATAACAGACTCAATATTATCTGGTGATCACAAGTAAAGCATCCATATAGTTATATGACATTCAGATGAGAAAACAACATCCAATTTCATACACAAACGATGGACAAAACTATACTGGAAAAAATGTAATATATAATAAACTCTTTATGACAATATTAGTTGTGTAACATAAAGTAAGAAATTAGATCTGTGTATTCAAATAATCTCATGTGGTAATGATGATGCTTGCAATGAATATATAAAATTCCATTTTTCAATATTTCGTATCTGAAGAAATGGTGATTAAATATTTTGTCGTCTACAAAATAATGTGTATCTATTATTTTACATCACATGAAACAAAAAACCTGAACACATAATATGTTACTATACCTTACAGTCCCTGAACCATACCACTTTCCCTTCCGTCTAGCCTATCAGTAATGCAAAAGCTCTACATGAAACAAGTCTATATTTTTGTCAGGTTAAGGCGAAGGTTTACATTTTCAGGGACAAAGTGTTAGTCTAATAACATACATCAAGCTGATGGTTTGGGGATCTTGTTTATCATCCAAAACTGTGTTCCACAGTAGATATCGCTTGTGTGAGATCAGACGATACCTCCAAGAAGATGTCGTTTTGACAGTAGATTTTGTGCAATGCCTTGACAATGCTATGACGTCATGAACTTGTTGACGTCATAATGTTATGACATTGCTGCACTGCATATCTAATGGCAGTACTGTGTTCAGAGATGAAGAGTGATTTTTTATGATAAATAGAATCTCACCCTCGTGTCTTCTGATATCAAATATATCAACACTCGTTGATAAAAGTAAAAATATCCTCGGCAAGCCTTGGATATTTGTTACTTTATCAACTCGTGGTGATATATTTGATATCAAAAGACACTCGGGTGAGATTATCTATTTATTTCAAATTGTATATTGAGAAAAAAATGTCTGCAACTTCTGCAATCAATTTTGACATAAACTATGAATAGAATATTGGGAGTAATCAACTGCTCTGGTCAATAATCACATACAGATTATGGTCAGAGGCTGACTAAATTGACTGATACGTAAGCTATGGACAAAACTATACTGGAGAGAAAATAAGCATATAATAATCAATTTAAGATAATATTGGTTGGGTAACATTTCATAAGAAATGAGATCCTCTGTTTTCAAATTATCAGAGACTGACTAAATTGACTGATCAACTGATCAACTATGCAGTAAATAGGTACCGCAGGCGAAGACACCTTTGGTTGCATCAAACATTGTCCCTGACTCAGTTAGGACAAGTGGTCATGTAAAGTAACTATGGCTGGATAAAAAGAACAATAGTCGGAAAAATCATCACTAGTAAAATTTATTCATGATCATCAATATGAAAAAAGTGTCAAGGGTAATATCGTTCATACATTTTGGTGATAGAATAAAGTTTTAATTTACTTAAACAAAGTTCCTATTCATGGGCTGCTTTTAAATTATGTTCAGGATGCTGTTTTGTTAGTGAGCCATGCATAAACACTCACCAGTGATGTGAAATATATTCATTTCTTTCAGACTTTTGTTTTGTTTTTTGCTCAAAGTTACTTCTCCGACATTTATTGACAATCGATCAATGTTTAGTTAATTATAATCAATCTCTATGATCTATGCCAGCCCCCCAACAATAACTAGATTTGGGGATAAAATAACTAGGAAATCTGGGCCCCGTTTCACGAAGCTCTCGTAAGCCTAAGATCTCGTAACTTTCCACATAGCATCGTACCTCCTATGTTACAGTATGAAAAGTTACGAGAACTTAGGCTTACGAGAGCTTCGTGAAACGGGGCCCTGGACTGTAGCTAGTGTCAAACCGATGCTGAAGGTGTTGTCAACAAGGTACTATACATATGTGTAGAATACAGAAATGTACCCTAGTCAAAATCAAAATACAGAAACGTACCCTAGAACGAGTCAGGCCAGCATAGCACCATTTTCTTGATCGGAACTGTCGTACTCTTGTATGAGATGCATTGATTGCGTAATACATAAGAAACGAGGATACGCAGTGATGAATATGCTTCGTGATGCACAGTATCACTGGCTATCAGGCTGACAGGAACTACAACATGAACTGGTTTCGGTTTGAGGTTGAGGAATTCATACTAGGTAACTTACCTGTAGTACATATCAGTAGTACCTGTGCTGACAATGGCAGCTTTAGCCAGACTAATGGACTAATGGCAATGTCTACATCCCCACCCACCCACCACCCCACAACACCCACCACCCACATTCATTTATACAACAGCAGTAATATAATACCAAATTTTCATTTGAAACATAAACGTAATACTTAATGAGTGAGTGACTTTAGTTTTACACCGCTTTTAGCAATATTCCAGCAATATCATGGTGGGGGACACCAGAAAATGGCTTCACACATTGTGGGGAATCGAACGTGGATCTTTAGCGTGATGAGCAGACACTTCAACCACTGGACTACCCCACTGCCCTAATACTTAATGAGCAAACCTACTGCAAAAATACCATCTGGCAAATCATATTATACATTCCTGTTTATTTTATATAAAAACAAATACACTGCATGAAACATGAGCAACACACAAGGCAGCAGTTCCGAGACATGATTCACTGAAGTGAGCACAAGATCTGATATACAAAATGTATTTTGAAACTACATATCCAAACTCCTGAATACATATTCATGATAAATACACATCAACATTGTGAAAAATCTCAGAAACATAAATCTGTACTAGACTCATGCTGAAAATGACAACTGTCAGACTAACTTCCAAAACCAAAATATATCTAACAGCTTTACACAAATATTGATAAATTATAAATGTCTTCTTCCAAGGTTTCTGAAATAATTCAAATCCTTTTGACAAGTCAGAATCAGAATATCATTTCTATAAATCAATAAATGTCTTCACCCAAACAGATCTCAAAATACAATTGGAGGTATATGAGAAATGTTCATTATCGCTTTCACTCAGAAGGGTGTAAAGATATTAGCACTGAAACAATGATCAATAAGTTTATGGATATTATTAAAGTCAGAATGCCTCTTCCTTATTATCTCCTTATACTGATAGCAGAGAAAAGACAAAGAACAGTAAGTAGAGCAGTGTAGTCGGCAGGCACAGTTGACAGTGAGACATCGAGACAGACATTAATCAAATGGCCAGTCTATGCCTACCAAATGACCACACCACCGGGAAGCGAAATCAAATAGAGCAGAAATGACATTTCTTTTTCCGACAGGAAAGCCATCAGGGGACTTAATTCCATCATAACCATTTTTCTAAGGAGAAATAAACCTTAATGCTTCAGCACAAAGATAATTAAGTCTCATTGATTTTTTGCAATAGTGTTTCAAGACAGAATAATTGACATTTCTACTTTTTAATTGACAATTCATTGTATGTACATTTGTGATGAAATAATAGATATTGCTTGGGGTTTTCAAATATACGAATTTATTCAATGTTCTAACTCACATGTCACACAGGTGTGCAACACAGTATAAGGTCATCTGCATGTTGCATAGACTACAGTTAAATATGGTGTATTTTGGATACCGACACATTAATTCCATTATTCTGCTGGTGCAGTGTGCATGTTGGATGTGGACTGTTTCTCAATCTCAACTCTACAAATCTTTGAGGAATCCTTGTGAAGGAGGTGAGTAAGAAGTAAGGATGTGTCTACTGTAACATTGCATCATGGGTCTCTTGCTGCTGCTTATCATTTGTCTGTGTAGCCAGGTAAAAACTGCTCCAGAATCTCAGGAACATAGGTATTGCATATATTGTATTGGCTGGATTACCCATGTCACTCTAGACCCACACTAGTCATACGCTAAAGTTGTTACTTACCAGCATTTGGTATTTCAATGAATGTTGTTTCATGCCACTTGGCAATATACCAGTATTATGATAACAAATAAGCAAATCCAGGCATAAAAATGTGCATGAACTAAAACAGTCATGATATCATGAAAACATAAAACAATCAAGTCACACATTGACATGACAAACACCCATATTGTTTGTAGTGAGCTCTTTTTTAGAGTTTATTTAGATAAATAGTTCAGACATCTACCCTATGTTGAAAGCTTCTTCGTTCTATTCAGACATATATACCCTTGACCTATTCACGACCATAGTTTCACTATTACCACTTCATGCACTTGAGTTTGAAACCAATCAAAATTATATTTTAAATTATGAAATTATGAACAATACAATCAAATTAAAAGTTATTTTGAGTGTCATTTCATTTGAACCAGACTCAACAATACAATCAAAGTAAAGAAACAGTTATTTTGACTTAAAAACACTGCAGTTGGGGGGAAATGGGAGCAGTTTGGATAATACAGTAAACACTGCAATCAAAGATATTTCATATTTTAAGTATCAGATCAAAAAGAAAATCATTTTAAAACAACAAAAATCATTACAATCCACAAAAGACTTGAGAGGGTGATATGAGTTTTAACACACACTGCTTTGACCAGTATTCCAGTTATATGACAG